AGCCCACTAGCTCATATAAACATATGAGCCCAATGCCGATCTGACGGTCACGGATGTCAGTCAGTGTTTGAATTGTAATTTTTTTTTTATAAATCCAAATCACTTGATATTTTAGATGTGTGTTCTTCTCATCAAGGCGCACGTAATAGAAATACAAAAAAATTATTCGTAAAAACTAAAATGACCAAAATACCCCTAAAAGTAAATTTATTTCATGTAAAATATTTTTTTGATATTTTTTGAAGATTCACCTATTTTTTATGAACACACACCTAACATTTAAAGTGATTTGGATTTGTAGAAAAAAGTTAAAATTTAAATACTAACAAACATCTATGACCGTCAAATCGGCCCAGATCTAATCTGGGCCATTGAGCTCATATGAACTCATATGTTCATATGAGTTAGTGAGTTAATCCCACCTTTTTCAATATATATATAAACGATTTTTTAGAGTTAACAACCCTCCAAAAAACCATAGGTTCAAGTTAGAGGGACTTGTGAAGTGCCATTTTACATTTACTACCCTCACATTATTTGATGACCAAAGCTTATACAAAAGGTTATTTTAGACTTTCGCTAAAAACCCAAAAAAAAAAAACAACCACAAAAAAGGGCGAATTGCAGGAATTTTGAATTTTGGCCTATCCTCTCTATCCCCTCTCTGACGCACCTCTGCTCTCTCTCCGCGCCCCCTTGCCTTCCCCATTCTCTCTCCTTCCTTGCCCTCCCCTATGTACTCTCTCCTAAAAATGCAGGCAGGAAACACTATCCTAAAAAGGAAGATTGAATGGAGGAGTGCCTCTTTGAGAACCCGTTAATGAGGTCTGGATTATCCTAAAAATCTGGATTTTGAATATGGTATGGATTAATGAGGGAATTCATGCCCTGAAACACTATCTGAGCTTGACGCTGATGAACTATTGGATGCTCTAAGATTGAAGTCCGTGTTAGAGAGAGAAAATGCTGACTGTTGTACTGAGGCTGCATTACTCTTGAGGAAAAAAGCAAACAGTAATGTGATCATGGAATGACGACACCAGAATATCAAAACAATAAAGTGTAAGATGAAACTCTTTGTTCTTTGTCCACACAGTTGTCTAAAATTTTGCACTGGTGGTTCTAGTGAGAGTATTCAAAAGAGAGAACTGTACTTCAATAACGTCTGTGCTTCCAGAAGCTTTCAAGTATACATCTGCATCACAGTCACTGATTTGCCTCCTGATGCTCTTACTGTAGACTTCGGTATAGTTCTTGCTTTTTTCACATTCACTAGAAACAACAGAAGAAAAACATTGATTGATTTTTTGGTGTCGGGTTCTCTCTGCATTTTGATTTTTCATTGTATTTGTGTTTGTTTAGGCAACTCCAATGCTAAATACCCAAGCGCTTTATATAAATGGAATTATCTCATTCTATATATTATCTCATTCTGTATATAAATTTAAAAATCCCCCCAAAAATTATGAGTTCATATTAGAATCACTCAATTTAGTTTTTGATTCATTGTAGCGACTGCAATTATTGACTTGTTTGTAAATCTTGTTGAGATCCAACACATCTGCAAAGTATTCGACAAAATTCCTGATAGAGGTGATGCCCTGTACAGTAGGGCCAATTTTGACATGTTGGCATCAAGAGCCTCTCCTTTGTGAAATTTATATTGCATTCCTATATTCTGGTGTATATGAGACGAGCATAATTGCTGCCATTTTTGAGGCAGGAAGGTAGAGAGCATTGGTCATTCAGGAGAGGATTAGGGATGATGCTGGTTCTTATTCCTTTTAGACCAGAGTCATGAGGAGCTACTGTGTTTGAGTGGTGAACCTCCTATGGAGACCCTACAATTTGGTTGCTCTTTTGGGTCCTAATTACTTTTTTTTCTTTTCTTTTTATAGTGGTACATTGAGAAATTTATGCATGGTATTTCAACTATGATTTACCCAAATTCAGGTTGTAATGGCTTTAACTTGGCACAATATAGTTGCAATTTTGAGGCATCAAACAATTTTTGGCAGCTCTACTCTTGGCTGCAATTTTGGGCAGCATTGTTCTTGGCACAATTTTGGGCATTGTTAATTACTGTAATATGTTTTTGAACTTTACATTGATAATTAGTACTAGGAAACAATATACTACTGTAATATGCTTTTGAACTTGAGTCGTTTTTTATAGGTACCTAAGTAGATCCCATATGGAAACTCCTCCAAATGAAACCGTGCTTGTAGAGGGCTTTGCAAAAAAAATAGGAAAAGACAAGCAAAAAAATGTGATTTTCTTTGTGTTCTAAGCAAATTAGAGACCCATATGGTACTAGAATGACATAAGAAACCACAAATGTTATTATTGAAGGAATCATTCAATTCACTGAAATGAGTTGGTTGATTTACAATCGAAAGTTAAATTTGTTGAAATGGGTTTTCTTGTTTACAATTGAATGCAATGATATAGCAAGAAAATTCATCCAAAGTTTGCTTTTGAAACTTGTTCTTAGTTTATTTTTTGGATTATTCTACAGTGGCCACACCAAAGCAGATCAGAGAGCCGATGAACGTTGATGGCTTGACAAATGATGAGGTGAACAGGCATTTGCAGGCGGATGAAGTGGCAAATGATGAAGTGAAAAGCCATTTGCACATTGATGGTTTCCACAGTGGCCACACCATTTACAGTCTGGTTCTCCTCAAGGTCCACTTCAATATCTAGGAAAAGCTTGAACATCTGTTAATGGAGATAGCGGTGGAGAAGAAGATGGTTTATCTGATGAAGAAGCCAATTAACTCAAAACAAAAAAATTATCAAATAATGACATAAAGAAACTGAGGAGTTGGTGACCCATAGAGGGTTATCAACATATCCCCAGGGGTGCTTGGGCTCAGTCAATAGTTGAAAGAGCTTGGGCAGAGAGATTTTGCATACTTACAGTTCTCTCTCTTATTTTGTTGTTTCTTTTACTATTTTTTATGTATGAGGTTTTATGTAAACATCCACCGAGTGTATCTAAGGAGCATGGGTTTTAACTGTCCATAGAACCTTTCCTGGTCTTCTTTCTCTGTAATATCATTTGTTTTTTTGTAAATTTTCCATTGGTACATCAGAGGAATGTTACCTTTTTATGTTTATGATACATGGAGAAATGGGTGGCCTATACATCCAAAGTCCACTTTCTATGGCATATTTGTTACTCTCTTTGCTTTCTTGTTGGCATCAAACATTCTTTTCTTTGTTGTTTAGGCAGTTTATTAATTTTAATAGCAAAAGAAAAAGAAAAGTAACTTGTATGTTTGAATTGCATTGCTGCCCTGTTGTGCCCTTATGATCCTGTGAGTTTAAAGAACCTAAGCATTGCTGCCCTGTTGTGCCTACCTCAATATCAAATTGGAAAATGTAGTCCCTGCCCCAACACATTCACAAGGAACAAAGAATGATGCTTTGCTTGAAATCCTATTTAGAAATGGGTGGCCTATATATCCAAAGTCCACTTTCTATAGTATATTTGTTACTCTCTTTGCTTTCTTGTTGGCATCAAACATTATTTTCTTTGTTTTTCAGGCAGGTTATTAATTTTAATAGCAAAAGAAAAAGAAAAGTAACTTATATGTTTGAATTGCATTGCTGCCTTGTTGTGCCCTTATGATCCTGTGAGTTTAAAGAACCTAAGCATTGCTGCCCTGATGTGCCTTCCTTAATATCAAATTGGAAAATGCAGTCCCTGCCCCAACATATTCACAAGGAACAAAGAATGATACTTTGCTTGAAATCCTATCTAGTGAATTAGTTAGATGGAGCATTTAATCAAGTAAAAATATATTCATTACATTTGCATCCACATTTCAACCTTACAATAATCATTATATACAACTCCAAAATTACATATACAAAGTTGTCACATGTAAATGCTCAAAAATCTCATATGCAAAGTAGCATTTCTTGCCCAAAAAAATTGTCAACATCATACCAAGAATGGTGTTCTCTAACATATAATGATTACCTACTAAATTAACCTCTTCTTAATGGATAATTCCTATAATCATGGCCAGTTTGGCCACATGAAGGAACCTTACAACATCTAGGTTTCTTAGCAACTTCAACATGGGACTTTAACCTTTTTTCAAGAGGCCGCCCTTTTGTGATAGACCGAACATGGTTTTTTACATGGATGCTTTCACAATGAGATCTATTTTCATCCTCTTCAGTTACTAGACTTGCATTAGATGTTTCATCAACCATAGGAGACCTCATGCATTCTACTTCTTCAACATGTTCTAAAATTCTTGAAAATTGCTCCATAATGAACTTGTAACAATCATCAAATCTTGCACCTTTTGTACCAATTGTTGATGCTAGTGATTGTATAGTTTGGACACGCTCAACATATGCAGCTGATGTGCTTGAGCTAACATTTGATATCAATGATGTAGAGTTCAACATTTTGGCAGATATCGGTCTGGAATTTGAATAAAATTTTCCTTGAAGAGAACATGAAGAAAATGCCTGCAAATGTTACCTGTAAACCCGAACCCTTTACAACTACAATTCATAATATTGTCTTCAACCATCAAAGAAACTTTTCGCCCTTTCTCTTTTTTTTGAAAAGTGTGTCACTTCATAGGTTCCATCATCATTTCTAGATGTCAAATGCTGGAAAGATGAAATAATTTCTTCTTGTATCTTTGAAAATGCATAAGGAGTTAAGACGTGTGCTGCATGATCTTCGAAAGGGCACATTGTTTGAACATCCACATTGTTGGACTTTTGTTGCATCAAATGCCTTTGACTCACTACATCTCTCATCTCAATAACAACTGTCATCTACAAAAAAGAGACAAAAAACTATAAAGAATAACATGCCAATATATTAAAATATTAAGGAAGACAATGAGATCATTATTTGTTATACCTGATCTATCAATTCACTAAGCGGAGTTTGTGAACCCGAGAATCGTTTCATAGATGCATTGATGGACTCTGAATTCCCCATCGTCTTCATTCCAGCAAAAAAATGGCTTCTCAAGTATGGTAATGCCCAAAACTCTTTTAAATTCCACAGGTTGTTAATATGTCTATTTGAAAGCAATGCAAACTTATTGACATGCATGTCAGCCTTCTTCAAAATCTTCAATGGACTCAATATTATATAACGTGTAAATACTCATTGTATCTTTTACGAAGGAGGAGGGAAAACCAGCCAGATAATTTTGATAATAAGTGTCATATACAAAATGTATGTTTAGTGGTGGGGAGTTCCTTACATATTGCTTCTTTGAGAGCCAAGTCCTGATCAGTTAGGATTGTTTGTGGCATTTTTCCATTCATTAGACCTACAAATGCCTACAACCATACCATGCTTTAGAAACACTAGAAACATATAAGCGGGGTCAAACAAACATCATTGGTAAGAATATCAAAGAATTCAAAGCTCAAAATTTGTAGAAAATCACATACCTTCATTGCCAATCAAAAAGATTGAATTCTTTCATCTCGTAGTGGAACACACCCAAATAAACAAGTGTCACCATGGTTATTGACACCCACCCAAATGCCGAATGGCATAGAGTAACCATTTGACCTGTAGGTGGTTTCGAAAACTACCACATCACCGAAGATCTCATATGCACGAGAACAAGAACCATGTGACCAAACAATATGCTCCAACCTATTACCTTCACGAACTGTAAAATCATACTTTAAATGTTTACCTCTATCTTTCATTTGCTTACATTTTGTTAAGAGAATATGAGCATCATTGTCGCGGTTCGTATTGTTCATAGCACATACAAAGTTACAGATATCCTTATCTATAAATGGTAATTCCCCTGGTTTAAGACTTCTCTATATTTCAAACAACCGCATCATATCTCTCACACATATACCGACTTTGGCAAATTGTTGAATACGATGCTTGTAACTTTATGAAATACTACGATAAGCCGGCAAAAATCTAGCTTCTTGTGGCTCAAGAACATCATGATTGTGCAAATTATCAAAGGTTACAACATGCCAATATGACATATTAGAATCCATGACTTTTGTGATACTCATATGCGCTCCACAATTGCATCTCCTTGATGATCGATCTCTTTCTCCTTGATTTGCAGACAATTCTTTATTTGTTAAATGGCCCGCCCTATGGCAAATATAGTATCTTCTAATAGTTCGATTGCCATCACCTTCTTTTCCAATTGTTCTTTGACGACGCACTTAAAACCTCCATGCCTTGGCAAAACTCATGTAAAATTCATAAGCATCATTATGACTTGAAAATATTTTCCCATGGTATGGATCTAAATCACTAGGAACTGTTTCTAATGGGTTTTCTACAATTGAAGCAAAGCCCTCTACAAGCATGGTTTCATTTGGAGGAGTTTCTATATGGGATCTACTTAGGTACCTATAAAAAAAGACTCAAGTTCAAAAGCATATTACAGTAGTATATTGTTTCCTAGTACTAATTATCAATGTAAAGTTCAAAAACATATTACAGTCATTAACAATGCCCAAAATTGTGCCTATAACAATGCTACCCAAAATTGCAGCCAAGAGTAGAGCTGCCAAAAATTGTTGCAACTATATTGTGCCAAGAATAGTGCTACCCAAAATTAAAACCATTACAACCTGAATTTGGGTAAATCATAGTTGAAATACCATGCATAAATTTCTCAATGTACCACTATAAAAAAAAAAGAAAAAAAAGTAATTAGGACCCAAAAGAGCAACCAAATTGTAGGGTCTCAATAGGAGGTTCACCACCCAAACACAGTAGCTCCTCATAACTCTGGTCTAAAAGGAATAAGAACCAGCATCATCCCTAATCCTCTCCTGAATGACCAATGGTCTCTACCTGCCTGCCTCAAAAATGGCAGCAATTATGCTTGTCTCATATACACCAGAATATAGGAATGCAATATAAATTTCACAAAGGAGAGGCTCTTGATGCCAACATGTCAAAATTGGCCCTACTGTACAGGGCATCTCCTCTATTAGGAATTTTTTCGAATACTTTGCAGATGTGTTGGATCTCAACAAGATTTACAAACAAGTCAATAATTGCAGTAGCTACAATGAATCAAAGACTAAATTGAGGGATTCTAATATGAACCCACATTTTTTGGGGGGATTTTTAAAATTATATATAGAATAAGATAATTCCATTTATCTCAGGTGCTTGGGTTTTTAGCATTGGAGTTGCCTAAACAAACACAAATACAATGAAAAATCAAAATGCAGAGAGAAACCGACACCAAAAAATCAATCAATGTTTTTCTTCTGTTTTCTCCAGTGAATGTGAAAAAAGCAAGAACTATACAAAAGTCTACAGTAAGAGCATCAGGAGGCAGATCAGTGACTGTGATGCAGATGTATACTCGAAAGATTCCGAAAGCACAGAAGTTGTTGAAGTACAGTTCCCTCTTTTGAATACTCTCACTAGAACCACCAGTGCAAAATTTTTGACAACTGTGTGGAAAAAAAACAAAGAGTTTCATGTTACACTTTCTTGATTTTGATATTCTGGTGTCTTCATTCCATGATCACATTACTGTTTGCTTTTTTCCTCAGGAGTTTTCGCTTAATGCAGCCTCAGTACAGCAGTCAGCATTCTCTCTCTAAGACGGATAGCAATCTTAGAGCATCCAATAGTTCATCAGCATCAAGTTCGGATAGTGTTTCAGGGCATGAATTCCCTCATTAATCCATACCATATTCAAAATCCAAATTTTTAGGATAATCCATACCTCATTAATGGGTTTTCAAAGAGGCACTCCTCCATTCAATCTTCGTTTTTAGGATAGTGTTTCCTGCCTGCGTTTTTAGGAGAGAGAGAGTATGGGTGAGGGTAAGGAAGGAGAGAGAATGGGGAAGGCAAGGGGGCGGGGGGGCGGGGGGAGAGAGCAGGGGCACGTCAGAGAGGGGACAGAGAGCAGAGGCCAAATTCAAAATTCCTCCAATTCCCCCGTTTTTTTTGTAGTTGTTTTTTTGGGTTTTTAGCAAAAGTCTAAAATACCCTTGTGTATGAGCTTTGGCCATCAAATAATTGAGGGTAGTAAATGTAAAATGGCACTTCACAAGTCCCACTAAACCTATGGTTTTTGGAGGATTGAAGCTTGGAGGATTGTTAACTTCAAAAAATCCCTATATATATATCTATGGAAAAGTTTATATAGAGCCGAGGCTCTAAACAATCCAATTGGAGCCTGCCTAAAAACTTTCACTAGAAGAGGTTGT